GCCAGTGTATTATCATAAGTGCTGCTTACCCTGTTGATTCTCTGACAAGAAAGATTGAATGTTTTTTGGCTGTAAAACATGTTTTCAGTGCCTAACACTAACAAAAGAAGAATCAGTATTTGCAATTGAATGTTTGTACGTATGTCAGTAAAATGCTAACTGAGGACATCAGTTGCTGGTCAGCTACGTTATTTATTGGGGTATTGTATTTTCTGCTGTTCTGTTTGCATGAAAGTCTTGCTTGATTAAGCTTTAAATGAATGTGACGCTATAGATTTAATGTAGATTTGTATACTGCCTGTTAAAAAATTCTGTGACATTTGAAAAAGTTAGCTCACTGGTTACGTCTTCAGTGTAATCTTCTTAAAACAAAAAGTTTTGGTACCTTTTGGATATAATATGTGCTCTGACCATGTCATCTGGCTTGCAATAGCTTGTCCACCAAGCTTTGCAGCGTTTGATGTCTTGTTACTCAACAAACTGTCAAGACAATTATAAATGTCTTTAACTAATTCTTTGCTGTGCCAGATACAGTAGAATGTAAACCAAAAAAAATCATAAATACAATTCTGTACCAAATGAATTTAAATGAAGTAGATTAAAAAATATTTATATGAATTGTCTAGAACAAGAGTTTTAAGTCTTGTAAGAGCAGGGTCCACATTCATCCTAGGTTATGACAGAAATTTTGTTAAATTTCATGCCAGTTTATTCAAAATTGTACTTTTATACCATTGCAAACATTTTGCTTATCTTAGTAATGTTTCTTATTAAATTTGCCAGTCTGTTATTGCTATTCATTATTTTAAATAATTTATACTGTAATGTCTTTCTTAAAAGAAATACAAGTGATACAGTATCACGTAAATGTGATGCATCCAGAGGAAGCGGATGCAGCCATGGATTGAAAACTTCTGATCTAATTTTCTTAAAGTATGGGATATTTAAATTTACCATTAAATGATTAGCTATAGGAACTGTAGGTCAGTGTTTCCATAAACGATGCTGTTGCAACATCTAACTTGATCTGACCTGACTCAATATTAAAACAGTTTGTGATCAGGAAACTGAGCTGGGCCATGGATTGAGTCCCGTTAACATGCTTGTTGTACACGGCAAGGTGTGTGTGTGTGTGTTGCATGAGAACAAGCACTGTGTTTTCTTACGTAGGTGTGACTCTGAGAGTGACAGGTGGAACTCAACGACAGGGATATTCGGTGCAACTTGTGCAACATCAGGGTGGTCTAAAGGGTAAGGAAATGGCTGTTGGAAATATTGTAGTGCATGTGTCTCACGTGCTTGTTCCACTTTCTGTGGATACATAATTGCAGTAATTAAGAGCGTTAGGAAGAACAGAAAGGATTTAGATCATCACTATACCAGACGATTATATATTTTTTCTAATCTTTAGACATGCTGCACTTATTATAAAATCGGTTCTTGTGTGGCGTGACTCGAGAGTGTTTGGCCTCCGTGTTAATGAGCGTTGTATCGTTATTTTGCTAATCGTGCAAAGTGGAGTATGTTTTTAAGTTGGGAAAAATCTGTAGTTAGTGCCAACATTAATTTGATATGTCAACTGGAGACATCTGTTAAGGTCACCTTTTATCAGACTGATGGAGGGACAATGGAAGGAAGGGGAGAGTCCCACTACTGCCTCAGATAAAGCCTCAAAACCTTTCCAGTATTTTACTGAATGTCTCAGCTGAGTAGTAAACTCTCCTACTTCATATTTTTGAGGTACTGTGTACAAATCTTGGCTGATGACCACGTGTCCTTACAGGTTTTTTTTTAATTTTCCTCTTGTCCTCCAGGTAAATTATGGAATAGTACTTTATGTTAGGCCGCAGCTGCTTCATTACATATTCTTTCCAGTTCATTGTTTGTTAATCCTGTCATTTGATGCTTTTTCATCTGGGCTTCTGACATCACAGGTAAATGAATGAAAAAAAATACAGCAGTTTGTCACTTATTCTTTAATTTTCTGCTTTTGTTGCTTTTAGAAATAAAAGTCTGTGTAGTACTTGTTGTTGCTTGTTTTTATCATTGTCATCATCATTATTTGATATTTTATTTGCCAGCAAATAAATTTGTTTATGTGTGAGACAGTGCATATCTTGACTATGTTTACATATAGGTAATACCTACACTGTGAAGTAAGTGGTGGTGGAAGTGATCAGCCTTCACTCAGTTGACCGTAACTGAGCATGGGACAAGGTCATGATCAGTGATGATGGTATTGTAAACTATTTGACCATGCCTGATTCTGCAGCACTGCAGAATGAGGTTTTTTTTAACATGTAGGAAGCGCACAAACACACGAGTTTAACATGGTATAATGCAAGAGTTTGTTATTTAAAATTTCTGGACTTTTTTTAAGTTACGGAAGTCATCATTCCAGTCAAGTACAATTCATACTATTATATAAATTACACATAATACAAGCAAAGGGTTCACCTAAAGTAATGATAAGTTGCAAATAAATCTACCCATTACATACAGAAGATAAATTATCACTCATTTGTAAACAATAGAAAGGAATGCTTAATGCAGTTTACACCATTACCAGTTTGCTATTATTGTTGCTAATGTGTAACTCTTTCTTCCATGGCATTGTAGTAAATCACACTGGCTTGGCTTCAGTTCTGTTTTTTTATATTTAATCATTTACATGGGAAGGTATTATTTGCACTGCTGTAGTGCTTTCTAAAAGTGATACAACATAAGGTATCCTTTGTTGATGATGTGGGTTGTGATTCTGTGTGGACTTGCAGGTACAAAACAGTGTTTCAAAGAAACATGCTCTCTCCATCTTATGGGCTGAAGTGGGGGTATTACCTGAGAGTCATTATTTTAAACATAATGAATTATAGAATTTGTAATTTTTGAACTGTAGATAGTGGGTAGCATTGACGCAAAATGTCCTGAGAATGTAATTGACTGGTTTTGTGCTATAGAACTACATTAAGTGTAGTTGTCATAGGCTTATATTTCATTGATGGGTACCCACAAGGATTATTTCTAATAATCTTATTTCTCAGTCTTAAGGAGGCTGTAGAATAACATTTTTGAGCGTGTGTGTGTTTCAGCGATTCCAGTTGCTACGTTAGGTCCAACTCCACAACAGCAGCAGCAGTCACTGACAGGAGTACAAGTGAAGCAAGCAGATGGAGTACAGAGGTTCTCTGTACCAGCTGGATTTGCCCAGCTGGTGCAAACTTCAACAGGGCGCCACATTTTGCTTACGCCATCATCGCAAGTTATACCACCATTGTCACAGAATCCAGGAACAACTACAGGTAAGTGAAATATGTTATTCAGTGCATAAAGTATGCTTGAAGTGAAGATTATTCAAATAAAGTTGAATTTAGTTCACATACATATTGAATATGCAGGCCTTTAATTAAAGTGAAGCATGAAACTGAAGTTTGTGATATTCTGTCACTCCTGGTACTAATATTTAAGAAGCAGGGAACCAAAAAAATGTATATAATCGAAATTGATCACTTGAGATGAGAAGACAGCTAGATGCCAAATCTTTCAATGTAATGGTGTAACTGTGAATGGATGCGAAAAGCAGTTGTGGTGTGATGAATATGCCATTCTCCACCATCTGCGTCAGGTCAGTGATTGGTTCCATGTTGATCTGTTGAACTGTGTAACTTGTTATGTATCTGCAACAGCTGGTTTTTTTTTTAAAGTAATGACTGCAAGTGGGCACCGTCTAACTGTACTTCCAAAGTCAGTGAGTGGTGTAGCAACAACTACAGTGACGACAGTGAACCGCATGATCCCATCTTGTCAGACTACATCCACGTCAGTGGCTCGTCCAGTAATGAGGGTTCCTCCCCTCAACATGTCGTTGGGCGCTCAGGCAACTTTGGGTACACTGGTAAACACAGTAGTAGCTGGAACTACCACAGTGACGACCACGACGACGACGACTTCCACCAAGACCTGCACTTCTCTCACCCAGCCAGTTCTGGCTGCTCTAGTCCAACAATCTCAGAGGAACAACACCATGCACTCTGCTTTGGCATCAGTATCAAGTAGCATAGTGACACGAAATGAGACAAAGATGGCAGAACAGCGGAAGCAGAAGCTGGAAGCACAAGTAGTAACTCGATCTGTTTTCTATTCGGTGAGTTATTTGGAATGAATTCAGAACTATTGGATTGTGGTTGTACAGCATTTATTATATAGATATTGTCTACAGACCTGTTGAGTCTTAAGTATGGAAAGTTTAAAGGACGGCAGTAAAATACTCAAACAGTGGTAGTGCATCAGAACTAGTTCATTTACCTGTTAATTTTGTAGTAGGCTTCGTGTCAGTTTATGTTCGTGGGAATGAAGTATTTTCTCAGTATTTTGCTTTATACTTTCTTTTGTGGTTTGCGTGAGGAAGAAACCACGGGTCTTATATTTGGGTGAATATATTGTATTGGTATAAAGTTTAAAACATTTAATTTAAGTGTGTTAACTTCAGTTTCATACTTATTTGCTAACCTTCTTTTCGTCTTCCATGTCCACATGGTAGCCTGAATTAGAAGATAAGAAGAGGGCAAGGAGGAAAGCAAAATTGGAAATGTTGAATCGATTCAATGTGCGCCGCTGTACTGCGTGCCCAATCTATGGACCTGACCTGATAGAGGCTATGAGAATTGTGGACTTGGTAGAGCCATACCAAGGGGACTCGAGAGGGGCCGGATATGTCCATTGTCTGAATGCCCTGAAACAGAGCAGTGAAAAGCCAGACAGATACTGGACTCAAACAAGACACCTAGCATCTTTGGTTCATACTCCACAGCATTATGTTAACGAACTTGGAGACATATTTTCAAGGTATATTTTGAATTTGAATATTTCTATTTCATTAATTAATGATGAATCGGCTTTGTAAGCATTTGTTATGCGTTACATATTATCTTTATGTCTTTGGAGGCTGAAGATGGCCCAACTGGGTCAAAACCTGTAGCTCATTAAAAAAATCTGATTATGTTATTAAAATTCAACAATTTGTTGTGTGTGATGGAAATTCAGTTATTTATATATATCTCATTTTGTTCGGTCTTTGATAAATATGGTATATGCTATGCATTATTTTTATCTGAAGATATTAACATCTATTACATTGAAACCTGTCCAGAACTAATGAATGTTCAGATCCTTGGAATCTTGTAAGCAGGTTTTATAGTACATTTTGTTTCTTTGTGTGTTTATTGGCAGTTGAGTCATATTATAGAATTGGAGCTTTGTTTTCACAGTACATATTGTGGTTTGTTCTGTTATTTAGGTTTTTGTGACAACCGAGTACCTTATTATATCCTGTGTATGAAAGTGTTGTGTCTTCAGTTTTGTTGCTTACATCAATATTCTGTTCATTATGTAGGTATGTGCTGTGCGTGCCAGCAGTTTCAGCTCCTCAGCCGAGGTTCCACGTGTCGCATCCTCCCCCATCAAAGTTCTGGGAGCTGAAGAGAAGTCAGGCCATGCTGCAGCAGGAACTGTCATCACGTTGTGCTTTACTGCATCCTATTGCAAGTGCAATGGTTACACAGTTTCCGGATCCTAGGCTCATTCAGTATGATTGTGGTGAGTTGTGAATTGAGGGTGGGAGCGGTTAATGCAATACATAACTGTATGCTGTAGATGGAAGAGAGATTGCCAAATTTCAAAACCCTTCTACGTGGAATATGTATGTGTGGGACAGAAAAAGCCAGGCAGCTGTTGAAAGTCTGAAAGATCACAGTCTGTATTAAGCATTGAGCCAGAGGGGATGTAATTTTGAAAGATAACCTGTAGTCTTGCTGACCGTGTTCTTTGACACAAAAGCGAACGCTGAGTGTATGGTTTGTATTATCAGAACCAATAGATTTTGTCACAATTGAGAAAGTTTGAACGAGATGGAATTTGATATGAGGGATTATTGTGTAATTTTAAACACTTACACTTTCCTTCAAGGATTTAACTTGGTTGATGTTGATTTGGTATAGAATTTTTCCAGCAAGGAATACAAACTTTTGTTTTCCAATTGACTCAAGACATACAGGATGTACAATTTAAAATGCAGTATAACAACAATCATGTATTACAGTTATTATTATTAAGTGTTCTGTCTTACGACAGGTCCATTGCTCTGCCCAAAAGAGCTCTCCAGTTGTCCCTATTCTCGGCTTCTCGATTTAATTCCTGGAACGTCATCTTCTTTCCTTGTTTAAGGTCGTCGGTTAGCTGTATCAATCTTCTTCCTAGTCCTCTCTTTCCTTCAACCTGGCCTTCGATGATATCACTCAGTAACCCATTCCTTCTCATAATATGTCCCAGCCAGTTGGCTTTCCTTCGTGTAATCGCCTGCAGAATGCTTCTTTGCTCGTTGACTCTCCTCAATACTTCTTCGTTGGTCACTCGATCCGTCCACCTGATCTTCTCTATTCTTCTCCAACACCACATTTCGAAACTCTCCAGGTATTTCTGTTCCTTCTTCCTGAGTGTCCAAGTCTCTGCTCCATACAGCCCGACACTCCATACGTAACACTTTACAGTACAAAAGTAAAATCAGAAGCATGTCCACTGCTTTGCAATAGACTCTCCTAACTTCCCCTGAGACACAAGTAGTAGAAGTAAGTATTTTATAAGCAAAAGTGGTGGAAAGAAAAATTTACATTGCCTTCAGATTCTCCCTCTCCAATATGGGTATTTTTATTCTCTGTTTTCCTGGGTAATACTGTTTTTTTGTTACTTCGCCCAACAAAGTCTTACTCTCTATATATATATTTAATGCCTTGTATGCAATAGGATTTAAGATTATGTATTTCGTCATTAAAACCAGTGCCATTTTTATGTTACATTCATAGGTAAACTGCAGGTGCTAGACCGATTACTTCGGCAGTTGAAGGTAGATCACCATCGTGTTCTGATCTTTACGCAGATGACTAGAATGTTGGATGTTCTAGAAGCATTTCTCAATTTTCATGGCCACATTTACTTGCGTTTGGATGGAACAACTCGTATTGATCAGAGACAGGTTTGTGAGCATGATGATAAGTTAATTTTCTGTTGTTTTGAACGCAAAGTTATAAGTTATATTTATTTATCTTGTCCATTGCTGTACTGAAACTTGACGTGTGTTGGAGGTGAGTAATATCTGGCAAGTCAGAATAAAGTGTGAGCTTTGGTTGTGGTACTACTGGTTAGAAGGCCTCTAGAAGGATTGGCTAATTGGTATTGCTCATTTGTCTCCAGATGCTGATGGAACGATTTAATGCTGACCGCCGAATTTTTTGCTTCATCCTTTCGACACGTTCCGGTGGTATTGGTGTGAACCTCACTGGTGCAGACACTGTGATATTTTATGACAGTGATTGGAACCCCACAATGGATGCTCAGGCTCAAGACCGTTGTCATAGAATTGGTCAGACGAGGGATGTTCACATATATCGGTGAGTTTGCTAAACCAGTCGATGTGTGTTACACTTGAGTTGCGGTGAACTGTTGCGTCGTCATACTTCTGCATTTGTCCACATGAGCATTGGTTTAGGATTTGAAATGTAGAAAGTACACAGATCATAAGCAGACAAAATTGGGTTTTTGGTATGGAGGTTTTTTGTATGCTGTATTCTGTCATAGGACAAGTTTTCAAGATGACATGATTACTTTGTGGGCCAAAGTAATCATGCTGAGGTACCAAATTAAAATTGTCAATCTTCATGAAAATTCTGTGTGCAGAGGGTAAGCAGCTATGTAATTTGCATAAATATTTTGTATCACAAATGTGTAGGAGTGAGGATATTTATTACGTTAAGGTATGTTTTTGCATGCTTTGCATATGTTCATAGATTGGTTAGCGAGATGACTGTTGAAGAGAATATTCTGAAGAAAGCAAATCAGAAGAGGCTTCTTGGTGATCTGGCAATTGAAGGAGGTAACTTCACGACAGCGTACTTCAAAAGTGTAAGTGCTGGGTTTTACTTTCAGGTTACAAGTATTGATTAATACTCGTATATTAATGAATTCCATGTGTTTGACGTTTAAGACACTTTACTAATTGATAAGAGTTGCAAATTTTGATCAGTGACAAGTGGTAGATATAGCATGAAACATTTTGATGCACAGCTGTCAATCCAAGTGACACTTTTAAGAGCTTAGAATCTTGGTTTACAGCCAGGGCTGGACTCCCTCCCATTCATTTACCAAGTGGTAGTTTATATATATACTACAGCACTGGGGGTTTTATCTAATAAAAGTTCACAGACAGCAGATTCAGAGTGAAGAAACTGGTAAAGTTTTCTTGATTCGTGACAAAAATGGTTGTGCCATTTGAGGTTATGTGAGGGAATAAGCGAATACTTCCTATAAAACCATAGACTTTCAGAAACCTCTCCCTCCAATTTTGTGTTGTGAAGGAAAAATTACAGAAATTTAATATTTGCTGATGATATTAGGACTGTGAATAATAAATGTGCATCTGAAATGAAATTCTTAATATCTATTTATTAGTTTTATCTTGCTATGTGGTTATCAGTTAATTGTGTTTTATTTCCAGTCAACTATTCAAGATCTTTTCAACATCGACATTGCTGAAAATGATGCTTCAAGAAGAATGGCAGAGGTTCTGGACAGAGATAATGAAAGAGAAAGAAAGCGACAGAAGGATGATGCTCAAGTATGTTTTCCCTTTTCTTGTTTCTCTGTTATGCATCTTCGGCTTGTACCTCTAAAACGTTGGTAAACTTCTACCAGTCTATGTGGCACTACAACCTAAAGGACAGTCATCTTTTTTGTACCCACTGCCATGACAGCCTCAGATTCTACTTAAATGTATATCACTTCATGTGAAATGACCTATGCAGTTGACAGGGTGTCATTAATAAGTCTAGAATCAGTCCTGACCATTTCATCTTATGAATGACTTTAAACACCAGACAGTATTTATTTTTGTAAGCACCACCCAAAAAATTCATGTTAAGTCATAGGGTTATCGGGGCCCAAACTTTGGGTTGACAAATGTATATCTCCTGATCAGTGTGTTGCAACATTGTGTTACTGCAGATGCCACTGTCACCAAATGAAGACAAGGTAGCACTAGGTGCTCTGGAGTCAGCATTGGCTGCAGCAGAAGATGAATCAGACGTCCAAGCTGCAAGGACTGCCAAAGCAGAGGCAGCTGCTGATTTGGCAGAATTTGATGAGACAATTCCACTTGAAGATGCTGAAACTGGTGGTGCAGCTGGTGAACAAGAAATGAGCAAAGCAGAGTTGGAAGTCCACAATCTTATTCAGCAGGTATGCACTGGGAAAAAACATGTCAGTACTTAAAACCATAATTTAAAAAAATCAATGATTTGGACAAGTATTAGATTCTAAAGAAAAATTTTGCTCTGTAAAGCTATTTATGAAATTTATATGTATCCCAATTTTTAACCTACTTTCATTTCTTAATGGTGAAGAATGGCTAATGAGGTGTGTGTGCATGCATGTATGTGCGCGTGTGATTGATTGCCCCTCCTCCCAACTTTCCAATCAGTTGACATTTTAACCACTACTATATGGGAATTTATATTATTCATATAGTGTTACACCGTGATTAATATGACATTTAATAATTTCAAGGCATAGAAAGTCAAAATAAGTTTTGTTCATTGCATTTTAAGCTAGAAACTCCAAACAAAAACTAGATTATTAAGTGATTCCATTTGTCTGTATACCGTTTACATTCTACAAATATTTTTATTATTTTTGCGCATTTCAATTGATATTCATATTAGAGCTAGTAATTCATGTTCCTTCCTCAGAGTTGTGTTGTTTTTGGAATACCACTTCCATTAGTTTTGTTTTATTACAGCTGACTCCTGTGGAACGTTACGCCATGAAGTTTGTAGAAGACACAGAGGCGGCGTGGTCTGCAGAACAGTTGGCTGCAGCAGAAGCAGAAATTGAACAGCAGAAGCGTGAATGGGAGCTGGGACGTCTCCAAGTTCTCAAAGAAGAGACAGATCGTCATGCAAGAGTTTCAGATGATGATGAGCAGCTTCTAACATTCTCTCATGAGGATGCACACAATCAGGTTAATAATTCGACTGGTCCTAGCAATTCTGATGACAGTAAGAGATTTGTGATAGGTGGTAGTCGGCGGTTGAGGGGAAGTGGTAGGGGTCGAGGGCGGGGTCGGGGTGGGGGTGGGACCAGAACCTACAGTGGGGCTAATAATTATTCTGCAAGTGATGGTGATACTTCCTCTTGCAATGATGTAAATGCTACATCTTCAGTTGATGAAGAGGATGAAGAAAGTGATGAGAAGGATAGTAGCTCAGGTGATGATGAGAGTTACGTTGTTGGTTCTAGGAGTAATCGTAGTAGTGCTAGCAGAAAATCCACCATCCCTAACAACCATCGCTTTACGAGTCCAAACAGTCCTAGGACACGATCGAGGGGCACAGTAAGCATTGATTTGTGGACGCTAGATGTAAGCCCCATTCTGCCTGGGGTGAGACCCATAGGTGCAAGTACACGTAGACGTGGCAGAAGAGGTAAGATGCGAAGAGGAAGTGGGCGTGGACTTCGGAACTTCACAAGATCTCCTGAAATGCAGTCTTTATCACCAAGGCGATTATCCAATAGTAGCAGCCATAGTGTTTCTCACAATTCTCCACCTTCTATCCCATACTCCAATCCGAATCTCGTTATACGGACTAGGCGGGCATCGGTAACTCCTCTTCGACATTCTGATGGCAGTGAAATTGATATGTCAGAATCTCTTTCTCCCAAGAAAGGAGGCAGAGTGAGTAGGCTGACTCGTAGATCTGAAAGTAGTGTTGAAGGTAATGGACCAATTTCCTGAGTTTGGCTTAATAAACCATCTCATCATTGATGGTTATAATTCATACATGTAACCCAGTTCAAAGCACTGCAAGTTGTTAATAATGTAAAACAGTTCTTTATACTGTACAGGGATGTGGTAATTCTTCCCATCAAAGGACAGTCTTTTCTTTACAGTTTGTCAGTAAAGTTGTACATATTTTAAGTTAAACCAGGGCCATTTCTGGGCTTGGAATTTTTTTACTCTGTTGTAGTTTTAAATCTAAGTAAAAAAAAACTGTAAATAGTTTGAATGAATTTAACCAAATTAATAGCTTATTTTGACATTGTGAGCAATTGGACTGCAGACTGCCATGGTCACTACATTGTAATTAGTATAATTTATGTTTGAGTGTGTGCGTGATAGAACTGAGAGAAAGGAGAAACCGAGTGTTAATGTTGCTTTACCATGTGGTCACAATCTGCATGGTCCTGTTGTAAACTAGAATGTGACATGTTGTCACGAATGTTTCAAGTCAAGAAACCATTTTGTTCTGTCAATTTAGACGTATACAAAGGAAATAAAGTTAATTTCTTTCCTTGCCATGACCTGTGTTTTACTTATCTCGTGGTGCGTTTCCAAGTGAATTCAAAGGTTGTGCTGTGTTTTGGTGTCAAACTTTGCTCTTTGTGCTTGTTTATATTTTGCATTGGCTGTCAAAATTAGTTTGGTGTGGCACAGGCTTGTCATTACCTTAAGCCTGCAGTATGGTTCGTCTCAGTTGGCATCCATTACAACCAAATGAACACTGGCACCAAAACCCTGCCTGCCTTTGCCATTCCAAACTTGGAGACGACCCAAGATATAAGCATGCACAGTGAGCAAGGAGCTGAAAGAAACATCTTACCATGGCTGCATCTGACTGTAAGCAAAGACATGATTCCTGTCTGTTTTTAGGAAAAATAATTCATCCTTCTGAGGCCACATTATGTTTATGTAATACAGGTTTAATTGTACTATAAAGTGGGACATATTCATCATGTTCAAATCTTACCAGTATTTCAGAATGGGAAATCATTGAATGTAAGTATGTAAATATGCTATTTAAGATACATTTCTAAAGCTGAATTAGGTAAAATTTCTATAATGCTGGACATTTTTTAGAAAATTGGTGATCAATTTCTGAATTTGATACATGATATGATGTAAATAAAAATTCTTAGTTAAATGTAAGGTGCAGCCTTGTATATTCAAATCTGTGTATATCCATCAATGATATTCCCATATTTTTATATGGTTAAATATTAATGTGATAATCCATGTGTTGGTAATCTGTCTTTTAGAATACAGAAATTCTCAAAATTATGTAAAATCTAGTTGACAAATGTAATTATCCAGGTCAGCCCACTTTTCTTGTGTTACACATCTTAAAAATATATTGCAGCACAGGGATTGTTAAAAGCCAACCCCAGAACTTATGAAGAGGATTTTATTATATTTTGTGATTGCTAATGGTGAATACATAAATGTTCCCAGTACTTCTTTCAGCATACAATGATATTCCATTAGGAAAACTTACTTGGGTCACTTATGAATATATTGACTTGAGTTTTTGACATACTACTTGTGCATTTAAATGTAGCTAATTTGTGCCCTCCCCGCTCATAACTTGCTTACAGCTTAATGCAACCTGTATAAGTCTAAAAGAATTTGATTGATTTCCTTCAAAGAGAACAGAAATGCTCTCAAATTAAAAAAAGGAAGTAGGAGCAAAACTGAAATTCCGCTCAATTTCTAAATGTTGAATTGTTCATTTGTGTTCTCTCATTTGTAGGTTTGGGTGTCTCAGAATGCTAGGGAGCAGATGCCAGTAAGTATACTGTAGTCTTAATGGCATAATTTTCCCATTGATTGGTTCTTAAGTGTCCCCCTCCCCCAAATATAGATTTGCAGCAATGATTAACTCCATGCTCATGGAATCATTGTATAACTAAAATGGAATGCATAAAACAATTGAATGGGGCCCCCGCTCCTGCCAAGTTCTGCACGTATCTCGGTACTGTTTCCCCGAATAAACTCCCTTCCAATTTTGTGAAGGCAAAAATAAGGTGGAGGCTTATTGATGTTGACCCTTAAAGTACGGTGATTATATTCATTTGTATTATTTTTGGATTGGTTTCTGTCTTCACAAAGGTGTGCTGTCCTTTCTGGTGTATATAGTTCACGTTTGATTTGCAGTGCCTAGTGATATGAACCAACTTATATAATTGGTGCCACAGAGCAGGGACGCTTTCTGTCTGTAGCAGGTGGAGGTTTTTGACCTGTATTATGTATACATTTTTGCTCAGACTGTGGACTGTGTTCAAAGAAACTATTCCCATGACAATACTAGAGAACTGTCATGAAATGAGATTTCAGGTTCTCACGGTGAGTATGAAGATGACTGTCTTCTAGGATATTGCACCATGTAGTCTGGCATAAATTTATTTATGAAAAAGAGGTGCTTACTGCTTCCATCATCAGGCCAATGCCTCGGTCATTACACTTATGATGGAGGCTGTAAGCACCTCTGAAATGTCTATACAATTGTACTAGACAACACAGCGCAACATCCCAGAAGACTGTCATCTTTAATTTTATAAAACTTTGAACCAAATTATTTGCACTTTTCTCTTAGTAATTCAACATCTGTACCTTTGTGTGTAGACCAGAGCAAAAGTAATTCCAGTTAGTTGAGATATTGTGTTTCACATAATTGTTAAAAGATTATTTATGAGAACAGTGAAATACGTTTGGATGTACTGTAAAAGGAAGACATGGAAGTACCCTGTATTGGATAAAATTTTGACATATAAAACAGGTTAGATTCTACATGTTGACGGAGTGCAAAGAGACAGACTTCTCACACTACTAATTACAAACCATAAGGATTAATAAAACAGGTTGACCTTTTAAGAGACTTGGATGAATGTGTATGGTACCTGACATTTTACCATCACTGAAACATCTCATTGAGATTTTATTATTCAACCAGTTTACATTTTTATTTTATGGCTTTGAATCAGGTGTAGAAGTTTTCTAAATTTAAATGTGGACTTTATATGAGGAATTGCGAGTGTTGTGTGGGCAAGCGTTTGCGCGTTTTCCTTCAGGAACTGAAGAAAACAGGACAAAATTCACTCCAGTCTGGCACATACCAGGTTTCATTTATCTTTTCTTTTACCCAAGGGGTATGGATTTTATTTAATTTCTTCTAATACTTGAAAGTAAAGTACCAGGAATCTATTTTGCTTCATTATTCCTTAGATTCTCCTTGTAAGTCTCCTTGTTGTGTCTTTTATCCCATCCCCCCTCCCATATGTATACACTAGAAGTTCAGGTCCGTAATTTAATTGACAGTAAACTTTACTTCATCCCAATAAAAATATTTTTGCATCATTTATGTGTTTTCAGACTGAACCTCATGCATTGTAATACAGCCTCTAATTATTGTTATGTATGTAAGGCAATTTTAAAAGGATGTCAGTGCATTATTTTAACTTGTAATTTAACATTCCTTATATACAGAATGATAAATTTCAGTGGGTCAAGATACTAGATTGTTTTCGTATACCTTGAAAGTCAGTGATATTGAATATGTTGCTGCAGATGACCAGTATACTCTCTTTCTCATGAAATCACCCCTTGGTTCATGCATTCAAATCCAAAGCTTTGTAGCCTTAATTGTGTTTAAACTGAAGATGTTAATTTGTGTAGCTGTGATAGAAACTTAACCACAAAATTGGAATTATGTTGGTTGTTGTATGTTGCATCATGTATTTGGAGCTATTTTTGCTTGATAAACACATACCTATAATGTCATTTACTTTTGTAGGATTTGAGACTTTCGCAGCGAGTACAATCAATAAAATCTTCTCGGGCAATCAGCCACGTCAACTGGTTTCTGTAGTAAACGTACTATGGTAACCAGTTGACCCGGCTGATTACCTGAGAAGATTTTATTCATTTTCTTTTTCTCTGAAGATTCAAGTCTTGTCTGTTCAATAGCCGTCAGTCATCATCTCTTCTTGATTATTATGTCTGGTTTGAATCTTCAATGGTTGTATCAGGTTTCATCCAAACAAATGTTTGAATGGTACCTTGAAGCCATAATTTCTTTGTCCCCATCTTCCTAATTTCCCTATATTATTATATCCACATCACACATGACAGAATGATCTTGTGAGTTGGTACAACAGCTATCAATAGGGACTGAATATGGGTCTGTTGAATTTTTAAGAACTGATCTTTGGTTTCTTTATGCCAGATGTTAACAGTGGTAAACTAGAGATATTTGATTCAATTGCTCTGATGATGGCATCAGGCTGTATGGCCTGAAGATGATATAATAAAGCATTTAAACATGTTGACAAAGCCGATGGAACTGTGCATTGGCTTATGCAGCAATCCTTTGGCATCTGCAGATTTAAAGAATCGGTTTGGATTGAGTTTTACAAATTGCAGTATTTTGTTTTATGTATCCCTGGATTTTATTTATATACAATGTATTTATGTACAATGTACATTTCTGAAGGGCGGGGCTGTAATGTCATTCAAAATCAGTTTTAAAGCTTTAATATTAACCATTGCCATGAATTTGTGACACTTTTTAAATTATATCTGATGATATTAGACCTGCATATTTATTGTGTTCAGGCAGCTTTGATGCATGTTAGCAGCAGCCACAAGTTTCCCTTTTCCCAATTTTCTGTCAAGCCTTTACCTCATCAGCCACATTGTTTTTAACAGTATAATCCCTGTAATTGGTGAGGAATTGCTATATATTATAAATTAATTTATTTTATAATTCATGTTATTACAAAATAATCAGACCACAATGAAGTATAATTTATAAAAGTGCTCTTCATGGGTGTGTAACTCAGTTAAGGAAAATCATTTATGTTGGATGGATGTTTTGAAATATTTTGATGCTTGCACTTGTAGATGTGGTGTCCACCGACTCCGCCACAGGATGATAATGATGTGTACATTGACCACTCATTGGGCTTCCTCTATGAACAAACCATCATGTCCGAGTCCCAGCTCCCAGTTGTGTATGTGAAGAAGGAACACAAACGAATAAGAATGGATGCAATTCCATCTGCTGAAAGAGAAGGTACAGCGTCTGTGTTTTAACATTTCACTACTCCTTTGTACTTCTTTCTGCCTTGCATGTACCTTTCAGCTGTCGTACTTAACATGGTTTATAAGATTACTGCTTATGTTCTGAAAATTATTTTCTTTATGATCAACGCCTATCAGAAGAATTGTTTTCAGTCAGGTCTTTGATATTACAATAAGAAGGTGTTCATTCTGTCCCATGAGAGGATAGGAATAATTTCTATTTCTGTTTTAATAAAATCTTTAAGGAGTTGGTTGAAAGTCACCATTGTTTCAGGGACCATCTCTGTCCCCATCATTACAGCCTTGATGACATTTTAAGTTTTTTAAAAAAATACACCTAAATATGTGTTTAACAGGTTTGTTAAAATTACAAGTTGGGCCATATTGTTGAAGGAAAGAAAGCAGAGATTTTAGTATTGATTTGTAGGTCCTTTGATAAATTTCTATTCATGAGTGAACAAATAGATTACCATTCACATCGCAATTGATGTTTATCCTGTTGCCAGAGTCTAATGCCAAATAAATTAGCTGGTCATGGGTTACATATACCTCATAAATGGCATATGATATGTATGGAATCAGCATTGTTGGTATACATTTCTTATGCTGTGCTTAAGATTCACAGTAAACCTACTAATCACATTAATTGGATATGTACACAGGTCGTCGCCCTATGAAGATACGAAAAGAAGAATCTTTGTATGCACCTCGTTCGTTGTTTGACCGTCCTTCGCCAGCATTAGCAAAGATGCGCAGAGACATGAAACTGCAACGATGCCGTGGAATTGTGCGTTCTCCATCAACTTTTCCAGGGCTGAAACCTCCAGCCATGGTTAAGCCCATGCCTGAACCTGAGAATGTTCCTGAATGGGTCATTCATGAGGATTGGGCACTACTTCAGGTGAGATAATTTGAAAAAAAATTCTCTTCAATTTAGCCACTTATTTGTAAAATGTGTTATCCATTTTGACTCTTGTGTTTTCCTACATATGTTTTGTGATTAAATAGCACTGGGACATTGATATTTTTGTGTTGCAGGCAGTGCAGGTGTTCCTTGAGCTGCCCCTAAACCTGATGATCCTGTCACCAGGTCATACTCCAAACTGGGACATGGTGGCAGATATGGTCAACAACGTGTCTCATATGTATCGCTCACCTAAACAGTGCCGCAACAGGTAGGGCAGACAAGTATGTCAGCACATAAGTTTAAAAAATACAGTATTTAAGTGATGCTTCTTGTATCATGATTTACTGTATTATTTCAGAAATGAACTGTCTTATGTTACCATATGTGTGCTCTGTAGCCTGCTAAATAATGCTTAAAACTTTTAGCCACATTTCACGTAACTAGAAGAGTTGTGATTTTCAGTGAGACATGATTCAGGATCTTTAAGTCCCGTGCGTAATTTTATTTAAAGGATTTTTACTTTGCCTCTTCATATTTGCACCGGCTATAGTGGTCATACAGCTTCCTATCCAGTGGGTTCTGGTGGATCTTTCCTTTGTGATAAGGTCACTGATGTGTTAAGCTGACTACTTACCTATTTACTGTAAGTTTAAGAGTGTGTGGATCATTTCCTCCAAACCCCTATATCCCTTCAAGGCACCATGATTAGACGTCAGGATAACTTACTCTTTAGTCTTCATTTTCAGGTATGACACCATTATTGTACCTAGGGAAGAAGGCAAGATTTTGTATGATTCAAATCCAAAGAAACAAAAGAAGACAAAGGGCATGTATAAACTTCCGCCACACACAAAAACGAATCGTCCTATGAGAACGTCACAGTTATACATCCAAGATAACAATGGAACATACACACAGCTGTACACACAACGGTTTGAGACAATCAAGGCAGTGTCAAATAAGCGAACACCAACTGTAAGACCGCAACAGCTTGAGAATCCCACAGTGAGGAACCCCAAACATGCAGCTGTTTTGGCAGACATTGGAATAATATACGACCAGCCACTCACGCCCCTTGAGGTTGCTACCCGAAGGGCAGAAAGAATTGCTAAGGAGAAACAGAAAACAGCACAGGCAGCTGCAGTAAGTATCCCTCTTGGTCTGTCACTGTGTTTAGAATGTGCAGGTTTATATAAGTTTTCACATTCTTAGGAGTATGCACAGTTTACACGCTTTCTCACATCTACCGAGTTTATTCTGTGTCCTCCACATCATTTTATTTCAGAGGTTGTACATCATGATGTCCTGCCAGGAGGCTGAATGCATTCACGCTTAGTAGTAGACCATATTACTTTATTGTCTTCTAGAATTGTTTTCATTTTATATGGTTGAATAGTCTAGTCTCCAGTCTCTTTCATCTACCTGCCAGCTCTTCCCTCTGCCATCTTCCTTTGCCTGAACCATGTTGTTTGAGGTTGTCTCATTAGTAAAGTGTTGTAGGAAAATTCCAGGAAATTTTATTAGCCTTGATGAAAAATAAATGTAAATCAATGAAAGAGAACAGTGCAATTTTTTTATAAGAATAGAATGTTATTGCTGCAAAAAATAAGTACTTAGTAACATGGAAAGTTTAAAGATTTCTGTCTTCTGGGTTGTTCCGCTGTGTAGTCTGGTCGATGTTAACCAACGTTTCAGAGGTCATACTGCCTCCGTCATCAGGGCGATGAGTATGAAGATTTCTGTCTTCTGGGTTGTTGCGCTGTGTAGTCTGGTCGATGTTATAGAAAGTCAAAATAAGTTTTGTTCATTGCATTTTAAGCTAGAAACTCCAAACAAAAACTAGATTATTAAGTGATTCCATTTGTCTGTATACCGTTTACATTCTACAAATATTTTTATTATTTTTGCGCATTTCAATTGATATTCATATTAGAGCTAGTAATTCATGTTCCTTCCTCAGAGTTGTGTTGTTTTTGGAATACCACTTCCATTAGTTTTGTTTTATTACAGCTGACTCCTGTGGAACGTTACGCCATGAAGTTTGTAGAAGACACAGAGGCGGCGTGGTCTGCAGAACAGTTGGCTGCAGCAGAAGCAGAAATTGAACAGCAGAAGCGTGAATGGGAGCTGGGACGTCTCCAAGTTCTCAAAGAAGAGACAGATTGTCATGCAAGAGTTTCAGATGATGATGAGCAGCTTCTAACATTCTCTCATGAGGATGCACACAATCAGGTTAATAATTCGACTGGTCCTAGCAATTCTGATGACAGTAAGAGATTTGTGATAGGTGGTAGTCGGCGGTTGAGGGGAAGTGGTAGGGGTCGAGGTCGGGGTGGGGGTGGGACCAGAACCTACAGTGGGGCTAATAATTATTCTGCAAGTGATGGTGATACTTCCTCTTGCAATGATGTAAATGCTACATCTTCAGTTGATGAAGAGGATGAAGAAAGTGATGAGAAGGATAGTAGCTCAGGTGATGATGAGAGTTACGTTGTTGGTTCTAGGAGTAATCGTAGTAGTGCTAGCAGAAAATCCACCATCCCTAACAACCATCGCTTTACGAGTCCAAACAGTCCTAGGACACGATCGAGGGGCACAGTAAGCATTGATTTGTGGACGCTAGATGTAAGCCCCATTCTGCCTGGGGTGAGACCCATAGGTGCAAGTACACGTAGACGTGGCAGAAGAGGTAAGATGCGAAGAGGAAGTGGGCGTGGACTTCGGAACTTCACAAGATCTCCTGAAATGCAGTCTTTATCACCAAGGCGATTATCCAATAGTAGCAGCCATAGTGTTTCTCACAATTCTCCACCTTCTATCCCATACTCCAATCCGAATCTCGTTATACGGACTAGGCGGGCATCGGTAACTCCTCTTCGACATTCTGATGGCAGTGAAATTGATATGTCAGAATCTCTTTCTCCCAAGAAAGGAGGCAGAGTGAGTAGGCTGACTCGTAGATCTGAAAGTAGTGTTGAAGGTAATGGACCAATTTCCTGAGTTTGGCTTAATAAACCATCTCATCATTGATGGTTATAATTCATACATGTAACCCAGTTCAAAGCACTGCAAGTTGTTAATAATGTAAAACAGTTCTTTATACTGTACAGGGATGTGGTAATTCTTCCCATCAAAGGACAGTCTTTTCTTTACAGTTTGTCAGTAAAGTTGTACATATTTTAAGTTAAACCAGGGCCATTTCTGGGCTTGGAATTTTTTTACTCTGTTGTAGTTTTAAATCTAAGTAAAAAAAAACTGTAAATAGTTTGAATGAATTTAACCAAATTAATAGCTTATTTTGACATTGTGAGCAATTGGACTGCAGACTGCCATGGTCACTACATTGTAATTAGTATAATTTATGTTTGAGTGTGTGCGTGATAGAACTGAGAGAAAGGAGAAACCGAGTGTTAATGTTGCTTTACCATGTGGTCACAATCTGCATGGTCCTGTTGTAAACTAGAATGTGACATGTTGTCACGAATGTTTCAAGTCAAGAAACCATTTTGTTCTGTCAATTTAGACGTATACAAAGGAAATAAAGTTAATTTCTTTCCTTGCCATGACCTGTGTTTTACTTATCTCGTGGTGCGTTTCCAAGTGAATTCAAAGGTTGTGCTGTGTTTTGGTGTCAAACTTTGCTCTTTGTGCTTGTTTATATTTTGCATTGGCTGTCAAAATTAGTTTGGTGTGGCACAGGCTTGTCATTACCTTAAGCCTGCAGTATGGTTCGTCTCAGTTGGCATCCATTACAACCAAATGAACACTGGCACCAAAACCCTGCCTGCCTTTGCCATTCCAAACTTGGAGACGACCCAAGATATAAGCATGCACAGTGAGCAAGGAGCTGAAAGAAACATCTTACCATGGCTGCATCTGACTGTAAGCAAAGACATGATTCCTGTCTGTTTTTAGGAAAAATAATTCATCCTTCTGAGGCCACATTATGTTTATGTAATACAGGTTTAATTGTACTATAAAGTGGGACATATTCATCATGTTCAAATCTTACCAGTATTTCAGAATGGGAAATCATTGAATGTAAGTATGTAAATATGCTATTTAAGATACATTTCTAAAGCTGAATTAGGTAAAATTTCTATAATGCTGGACATTTTTTAGAAAATTGGTGATCAATTTCTGAATTTGATACATGATATGATGTAAATAAAAATTCTTAGTTAAATGTAAGGTGCAGCCTTGTATATTCAAATCTGTGTATATCCATCAATGATATTCCCATATTTTTATATGGTTAAATATTAATGTGATAATCCATGTGTTGGTAATCTGTCTTTTAGAATACAGAAATTCTCAAAATTATGTAAAATCTAGTTGACAAATGTAATTATCCAGGTCAGCCCACTTTTCTTGTGTTACACATCTTAAAAATATATTGCAGCACAGGGATTGTTAAAAGCCAACCCCAGAACTTATGAAGAGGATTTTATTATATTTTGTGATTGCTAATGGTGAATACATAAATGTTCCCAGTACTTCTTTCAGCATACAATGATATTCCATTAGGAAAACTTACTTGGGTCACTTATGAATATATTGACTTGAGTTTTTGACATACTACTTGTGCATTTAAATGTAGCTAATTTGTGCCCTCCCCGCTCATAACTTGCTTACAGCTTAATGCAACCTGTATAAGTCTAAAAGAATTTGATTGATTTCCTTCAAAGAGAACAGAAATGCTCTCAAATTAAAAAAAGGAAGTAGGAGCAAAACTGAAATTCCGCTCAATTTCTAAATGTTGAATTGTTCATTTGTGTTCTCTCATTTGTAGGTTTGGGTGTCTCAGAATGCTAGGGAGCAGATGCCAGTAAGTATACTGTAGTCTTAATGGCATAATTTTCCCATTGATTGGTTCTTAAGTGTCCCCCTCCCCCAAATATAGATTTGCAGCAATGATTAACTCCATGCTCATGGAATCATTGTATAACTAAAATGGAATGCATAAAACAATTGAATGGGGCCCCCGCTCCTGCCAAGTTCTGCACGTATCTCGGTACTGTTTCCCCGAATAAACTCCCTTCCAATTTTGTGAAGGCAAAAATAAGGTGGAGGCTTATTGATGTTGACCCTTAAAGTACGGTGATTATATTCATTTGTATTATTTTTGGATTGGTTTCTGTCTTCACAAAGGTGTGCTGTCCTTTCTGGTGTATATAGTTCACGTTTGATTTGCAGTGCCTAGTGATATGAACCAACTTATATAATTGGTGCCACAGAGCAGGGACGCTTTCTGTCTGTAGCAGGTGGAGGTTTTTGACCTGTATTATGTATACATTTTTGCTCAGACTGTGGACTGTGTTCAAAGAAACTATTCCCATGACAATACTAGAGAACTGTCATGAAATGAGATTTCAGGTTCTCACGGTGAGTATGAAGATGACTGTCTTCTAGGATATTGCACCATGTAGTCTGGCATAAATTTATTTATGAAAAAGAGGTGCTTACTGCTTCCATCATCAGGCCAATGCCTCGGTCATTACACTTATGATGGAGGCTGTAAGCACCTCTGAAATGTCTATACAATTGTACTAGACAACACAGCGCAACATCCCAGAAGACTGTCATCTTTAATTTTATAAAACTTTGAACCAAATTATTTGCACTTTTCTCTTAGTAATTCAACATCTGTACCTTTGTGTGTAGACCAGAGCAAAAGTAATTCCAGTTAGTTGAGATATTGTGTTTCACATAATTGTTAAAAGATTATTTATGAGAACAGTGAAATACGTTTGGATGTACTGTAAAAGGAAGACATGGAAGTACCCTGTATTGGATAAAATTTTGACATATAAAACAGGTTAGATTCTACATGTTGATGGAGTGCAAAGAGACAGACTTCTCACACTACTAATTACAAACCATAAGGATTAATAAAACAGGTTGACCTTTTAAGAGACTTGGATGAATGTGTATGGTACCTGACATTTTACCATCACTGAAACATCTCATTGAGATTTTATTATTCAACCAGTTTACATTTTTATTTTATGGCTTTGAATCAGGTGTAGAAGTTTTCTAAATTTAAATGTGGACTTTATATGAGGAATTGCGAGTGTTGTGTGGGCAAGCGTTTGCGCGTTTTCCTTCAGGAACTGAAGAAAACAGGACAAAATTCACTCCAGTCTGGCACATACCAGGTTTCATTTATCTTTTCTTTTACCCAAGGGGTATGGATTTTATTTAATTTCTTCTAATACTTGAAAGTAAAGTACCAGGAATCTATTTTGCTTCATTATTCCTTAGATTCTCCTTGTAAGTCTCCTTGTTGTGTCTTTTATCCCATCCCCCCTCCCATATGTATACACTAGAAGTTCAGGTCCGTAATTTAATTGACAGTAAACTTTACTTCATCCCAATAAAAATATTTTTGCATCATTTATGTGTTTTCAGACTGAACCTCATGCATTGTAATACAGCCTCTAATTATTGTTATGTATGTAAGGCAATTTTAAAAGGATGTCAGTGCATTATTTTAACTTGTAATTTAACATTCCTTATATACAGAATGATAAATTTCAGTGGGTCAAGATACTAGATTGTTTTCGTATACCTTGAAAGTCAGTGATATTGAATATGTTGCTGCAGATGACCAGTATACTCTCTTTCTCATGAAATCACCCCTTGGTTCATGCATTCAAATCCAAAGCTTTGTAGCCTTAATTGTGTTTAAACTGAAGATGTTAATTTGTGTAGCTGTGATAGAAACTTAACCACAAAATTGGAATTATGTTGGTTGTTGTATGTTGCATCATGTATTTGGAGCTATTTTTGCTTGATAAACACATACCTATAATGTCATTTACTTTTGTAGGATTTGAGACTTTCGCAGCGAGTACAATCAATAAAATCTTCTCGGGCAATCAGCCACGTCAACTGGTTTCTGTAGTAAACGTACTATGGTAACCAGTTGACCCGGCTGATTACCTGAGAAGATTTTATTCATTTTCTTTTTCTCTGAAGATTCAAGTCTTGTCTGTTCAATAGCCGTCAGTCATCATCTCTTCTTGATTATTATGTCTGGTTTGAATCTTCAATGGTTGTATCAGGTTTCATCCAAACAAATGTTTGAATGGTACCTTGAAGCCATAATTTCTTTGTCCCCATCTTCCTAATTTCCCTATATTATTATATCCACATCACACATGACAGAATGATCTTGTGAGTTGGTACAACAGCTATCAATAGGGACTGAATATGGGTCTGTTGAATTTTTAAGAACTGATCTTTGGTTTCTTTATGCCAGATGTTAACAGTGGTAAACTAGAGATATTTGATTCAATTGCTCTGATGATGGCATCAGGCTGTATGGCCTGAAGATGATATAATAAAGCATTTAAACATGTTGACAAAGCCGATGGAACTGTGCATTGGCTTATGCAGCAATCCTTTGGCATCTGCAGATTTAAAGAATCGGTTTGGATTGAGTTTTACAAATTGCAGTATTTTGTTTTATGTATCCCTGGATTTTATTTATATACAATGTATTTATGTACAATGTACATTTCTGAAGGGCGGGGCTGTAATGTCATTCAAAATCAGTTTTAAAGCTTTAATATTAACCATTGCCATGAATTTGTGACACTTTTTAAATTATATCTGATGATATTAGACCTGCATATTTATTGTGTTCAGGCAGCTTTGATGCATGTTAGCAGCAGCCACAAGTTTCCCTTTTCCCAATTTTCTGTCAAGCCTTTACCTCATCAGCCACATTGTTTTTAACAGTATAATCCCTGTAATTGGTGAGGAATTGCTATATATTATAAATTAATTTATTTTATAATTCATGTTATTACAAAATAATCAGACCACAATGAAGTATAATTTATAAAAGTGCTCTTCATGGGTGTGTAACTCAGTTAAGGAAAATCATTTATGTTGGATGGATGTTTTGAAATATTTTGATGCTTGCACTTGTAGATGTGGTGTCCACCGACTCCGCCACAGGATGATAATGATGTGTACATTGACCACTCATTGGGCTTCCTCTATGAACAAACCATCATGTCCGAGTCCCAGCTCCCAGTTGTGTATGTGAAGAAGGAACACAAACGAATAAGAATGGATGCAATTCCATCTGCTGAAAGAGAAGGTACAGCGTCTGTGTTTTAACATTTCACTACTCCTTTGTACTTCTTTCTGCCTTGCATGTACCTTTCAGCTGTCGTACTTAACATGGTTTATAAGATTACTGCTTATGTTCTGAAAATTATTTTCTTTATGATCAACGCCTATCAGAAGAATTGTTTTCAGTCAGGTCTTTGATATTACAATAAGAAGGTGTTCATTCTGTCCCATGAGAGGATAGGAATAATTTCTATTTCTGTTTTAATAAAATCTTTAAGGAGTTGGTTGAAAGTCACCATTGTTTCAGGGACCATCTCTGTCCCCATCATTACAGCCTTGATGACATTTTAAGTTTTTTAAAAAAATACACCTAAATATGTGTTTAACAGGTTTGTTAAAATTACAAGTTGGGCCATATTGTTGAAGGAAAGAAAGCAGAGATTTTAGTATTGATTTGTAGGTCCTTTGATAAATTTCTATTCATGAGTGAACAAATAGATTACCATTCACATCGCAATTGATGTTTATCCTGTTGCCAGAGTCTAATGCCAAATAAATTAGCTGGTCATGGGTTACATATACCTCATAAATGGCATATGATATGTATGGAATCAGCATTGTTGGTATACATTTCTTATGCTGTGCTTAAGATTCACAGTAAACCTACTAATCACATTAATTGGATATGTACACAGGTCGTCGCCCTATGAAGATACGAAAAGAAGAATCTTTGTATGCACCTCGTTCGTTGTTTGACCGTCCTTCGCCAGCATTAGCAAAGATGCGCAGAGACATGAAACTGCAACGATGCCGTGGAATTGTGCGTTCTCCATCAACTTTTCCAGGGCTGAAACCTCCAGCCATGGTTAAGCCCATGCCTGAACCTGAGAATGTTCCTGAATGGGTCATTCATGAGGATTGGGCACTACTTCAGGTGAGATAATTTGAAAAAAAATTCTCTTCAATTTAGCCACTTATTTGTAAAATGTGTTATCCATTTTGACTCTTGTGTTTTCCTACATATGTTTTGTGATTAAATAGCACTGGGACATTGATATTTTTGTGTTGCAGGCAGTGCAGGTGTTCCTTGAGCTGCCCCTAAACCTGATGATCCTGTCACCAGGTCATACTCCAAACTGGGACATGGTGGCAGATATGGTCAACAACGTGTCTCATATGTATCGCTCACCTAAACAGTGCCGCAACAGGTAGGGCAGACAAGTATGTCAGCACATAAGTTTAAAAAATACAGTATTTAAGTGATGCTTCTTGTATCATGATTTACTGTATTATTTCAGAAATGAACTGTCTTATGTTACCATATGTGTGCTCTGTAGCCTGCTAAATAATGCTTAAAACTTTTAGCCACATTTCACGTAACTAGAAGAGTTGTGATTTTCAGTGAGACATGATTCAGGATCTTTAAGTCCCGTGCGTAATTTTATTTAAAGGATTTTTACTTTGCCTCTTCATATTTGCACCGGCTATAGTGGTCATACAGCTTCCTATCCAGTGGGTTCTGGTGGATCTTTCCTTTGTGATAAGGTCACTGATGTGTTAAGCTGACTACTTACCTATTTACTGTAAGTTTAAGAGTGTGTGGATCATTTCCTCCAAACCCCTATATCCCTTCAAGGCACCATGATTAGACGTCAGGATAACTTACTCTTTAGTCTTCATTTTCAGGTATGACACCATTATTGTACCTAGGGAAGAAGGCAAGATTTTGTATGATTCAAATCCAAAGAAACAAAAGAAGACAAAGGGCATGTATAAACTTCCGCCACACACAAAAACGAATCGTCCTATGAGAACGTCACAGTTATACATCCAAGATAACAATGGAACATACACACAGCTGTACACACAACGGTTTGAGACAATCAAGGCAGTGTCAAATAAGCGAACACCAACTGTAAGACCGCAACAGCTTGAGAATCCCACAGTGAGGAACCCCAAACATGCAGCTGTTTTGGCAGACATTGGAATAATATACGACCAGCCACTCACGCCCCTTGAGGTTGCTACCCGAAGGGCAGAAAGAATTGCTAAGGAGAAACAGAAAACAGCACAGGCAGCTGCAGTAAGTATCCCTCTTGGTCTGTCACTGTGTTTAGAATGTGCAGGTTTATATAAGTTTTCACATTCTTAGGAGTATGCACAGTTTACACGCTTTCTCACATCTACCGAGTTTATTCTGTGTCCTCCACATCATTTTATTTCAGAGGTTGTACATCATGATGTCCTGCCAGGAGGCTGAATGCATTCACGCTTAGTAGTAGACCATATTACTTTATTGTCTTCTAGAATTGTTTTCATTTTATATGGTTGAATAGTCTAGTCTCCAGTCTCTTTCATCTACCTGCCAGCTCTTCCCTCTGCCATCTTCCTTTGCCTGAACCATGTTGTTTGAGGTTGTCTCATTAGTAAAGTGTTGTAGGAAAATTCCAGGAAATTTTATTAGCCTTGATGAAAAATAAATGTAAATCAATGAAAGAGAACAGTGCAATTTTTTTATAAGAATAGAATGTTATTGCTGCAAAAAATAAGTACTTAGTAACATGGAAAGTTTAAAGATTTCTGTCTTCTGGGTTGTTCCGCTGTGTAGTCTGGTCGATGTTAACCAACGTTTCAGAGGTCATACTGCCTCCGTCATCAGGGCGATGAGTATGAAGATTTCTGTCTTCTGGGTTGTTGCGCTGTGTAGTCTGTGTGCAGGCTGGTCGATATTAACCAACGTCTCAGAGGTCATACTGCCTCCGTCATCAGGGCGATGAGTATGAAGATTTCTGTCTTCTGGGTTGTAGCGCTGTGTAGTCTGGTCGATGTTTACCAACGTTTCAGAGGTCATACTGCCTCTGTCATCAGGTTGATGATGAATCAAATGACATATATTATGTTCAAATGCTTCATGTTGTTTCACTTTTAAATAACCAGAAAGTATGAGAATTACCAAGTTTACCATTGTAAATTTGAGTCTGTCAAGCAGAATTTATTATTTTTTTTTATTTATATTCTGTTCTCTTTTTATTTATTCACTCTTACGTTTAGTTTGTCTTAGGTACAACTGTAATAATAGTGTGATAGGTAACTTTTTGTAACAGTACATATTTATAACATTGCAGGCACAGGTAGTGTCTGCTGGGCAAACGTTCATTGCTTCACCTTTACAACAGCAGCAGGTGGCAGCAGCGGCAAACTCTGGATCTGCTCCTTCTGTTGCTCAGGTACCTGCCCCATCTGTACCTTCAACGCAAGCGCCTGTACCGAGTTCAACGCCACAAGCAGTTGTGGTCGGACTGAGCCGGGCAGCATCTCCTCAGCAGATTGGAACGGTGGTATCAGTGGCTGGCACCACGGTTATACAAACTGGGTCTGTGTCAACTCTGACACCAGCACTCAGCCGAGTACAGAGACCTGTCACCACTCTTACTGTACAGGTTTGTTGACCTCTGATATTATGTTATTTATTGCCTGGTAATTGGAAGTTCATAAACACCTGTTTATGGTTGGGTAGGTTATCACGTGATACAGCATTTTCCATTCTCCACCCTTCTGTAGGTGATTCTCTTTATCTGATTTTACTCTTCCCTCACATTGCCTCTCCTTTTCCATTTTTCATGCCCATTTGTCATTTATTACATGTCTCTGTTTTTAATTCTCTCATATTGTCATCAAAGTATACAATTTTTAAATATACAAAACTATTAATTTTACCTTTTATATCGCATGAATGTGAAACATGGTCTTTCACAAAATGGGATGAACAAAAATTGAGGATGCTGAAGAACCAGGTGCTTAGAACAATATTTCAACTTAAAAGGGGTGGTTTGGGAGTGTGGATTGGATTCTTCTGGCACAGGTTAGGTGATGATGGGCTCTTGTGAACATTGTGATGAATATTGACATAGGAGATTAAAGGCTCTGATGGTGGAGGTAGTAAGCACCTCTGAAATACTAGTCATTTATCTACCAGACTACTTGGTATTGCATCCAGGAAGGCGGTCGTCTTTGTACTCATTGCTGTGATAACCTGAAATCTTGCAATTTTCTGATGTTGCAGGATGTGGTGGCTGCAGCAGGCCAAGTGAGGACAGTGGCTAACTCTCCAGCTGTCGTGTCAGTTGCTAATCTAACACCTGCTCAAGTTCAGGTGGCTGCCCAGCGTCTTGCTTCGGCAAATCTTGTATCCCAGTCACCAACTGTAGTTACTACTGTAGTTACAAAGGGTAAGTACTTGTTAATACCATCATCACAGATGTGAGAATAAATCAAATTTGTGTTATCCTTAGAAAAGGGAGAGAAATTTGTGATCAAGGAAAATCTTTGGATACGTATATCAGACTGTTGTGTGCGCATATGTTCTAGTAAGGAAAGGTTTCAGTAACAGGTTTGTTAACACTGCCTTTGTTTTCATTATTACCTTAATAAGGTGACTACTTGTTTGTATTGGTTGGAATTCAGATAAACGGAGAACATAAATATTGAACAGGTCTTGAAACTCCTAATAGCTAAATGCTTTGTAGTTCACTGTCTGCTCCATTCAAGAAAACAATCTCTTTGCATAGTCTTCATACAGTGTCATATTATGCCCATGGAACTAAGGTGTTTGAACACTAAAACACAAAAGCCGTTGTAGTGTATACTGTTTTTTAAATTCTAGTGCTGCATAAAGGCTTAATTTTTCATAATGTAAGTAAGCATGATTTTTATGCTACTAGTAATTATTTTTTTACTATTATTTGTGCTGTATAATGTGAGATACACATGTGATCCAGGTGTAACAGCTGCTGCTATGACGGCAGGTGGTAAGGCGCTGAACCATGCACAGATTCAGTTCTATAAGCAGCAACAGCTGCTTCGCCAGCAACAGCAACGACTTATACGGGACCATCAGCTGAAGGTTCTGCAGGCCCAGTCGGCTTCAAATCAGAAGGTTTCAGTTGCCGTGACTACAGGAACAGCCATGGGAATAGCAACTGTCGCTGGAGTCACAGCTGTTCAGGTCTCACAAGCTCAGCAGCAGAGAGCACAGGTAACAAAATTTCTAGGCTGACTCACAATAAAGATTAAATATTTACTCAACTATATGATTAATTTTTTCTTGTATTTTCTTTCTGAAGTAGGGGGGTTCCATTAGCGTTAATACCCAAAGACTTATATTTATGAGGTACCCAGTTTAAATCTTGATCATGTTGCCTGCTTCTCTGATAGTACTTGTTAATAGGCCATGAATATCTTGCAAAGTCTTGACCTTAATTTTTTTATAGTTTATCAAACAAGCATCCCCAGGAGGTAAACAAACTGCAATTGCTCGCACAATGTCTGAGACTGAGATGGCAGCACTTATTAAGCGCCAGCAGCAACATCTAGCAGTACAGCAGAAAGCTGGAGGGACGCAGGTAGCTCAGGTGCAGGTGCCAACGCAAGCAGGACTCACTCCCGCTCAGATTCTGGCACAAGCTGGATTGCAGGTAAGCATAAACAGTGTCATCTTCTTCTTTCTCGTCTCCCTATTTTCCTTTATAACGTCGGGGTTGATTGCTCGGTCCACCTCCTCCATTCCTTCCTATCCCTTGCTAAGAATTTCATCTGTGTTAAACTTTTTCCCTTTGCCTGTCCTATTTCTCTAATAGTATCCAAGTAGCTCTTTCTAGGTCTTCATCTTATTCTGGTACCCTCAACTCTAGCTTCCAAAAAACTGTTTTGTCTTTCTTTCATCTGCCATTCGAACAACATGTCCAAACCATTTCAGTCGTTTTTCTTCCAATTTTGTTTGTATTCTAACACTTCCTGAACTATTTCTACCTCTTT